TTGTCCTAAGGCTGGAATCCTCTCTGATGCACAAGTGGAGTATCTTCCACCTGACATTGAACAGCCAGTACAGAAAGCCATGCCCCAAGTGCAGTGAGTCACAGGGCACAGGGTTTTTTCTAGTGAGCTTAGAAAACTGCAGCCTGATAGGAGCATAAAAATTCTGATATCGTTAGTGACTATGATGAGTTTGCTATTCAGTGACCTGAAGTAATTGTCAATTAAACCATGTTGCTCAAAAAAATGACTACTTTGAATAACTGCTTTTGGTCTTCCATGGTCTGATGACGACTACGAATTCATATCTAACTAGATGCATGCCCTTCCTAATGGGAACAGTTGAACAGCAGTCCCTCAAAGGGACTTTGTGCTTTTTTTTCCTCCCTTTTTGTTCAGCCATTAGCATATGCTTTTCCTTTTGAGGGCTAAAACTGTGAAAAGGTAACTAAATGCCTTGGCCAATTTAAATTGGGCTCTGTGCCAACCAGAAAATGGCATTTTTCATCTCTAATCAAAACCTCATTGTGACTCTGTTGACACAGAAAACAAGGAATAAGAATTCTGTTCATTGACTTGGTAGGAAAGAGTCTGAGACAGGATACCACTACGAATATTTCATCTTTTCTAAAACTTTTGGGTATGTTGAAAGGAAACCAGTCATGCAAGAATAACTGAGGACTGTCATTTATCATAAACACTGTCAATACTACCTTTTCTCAGAAACAGCCTAATAAAGCTGATGTCCAACACAGTTAAATCCATATCATTAGGCTTTCCACCAGACTATCAAAGTACTATTCATTAAACTGCAGCTCTTGCTTCAGCCTCAAGAGAAAAATGTTATTTACATTGAATCTTGATGGCATTACTGGAGCAAAAATTTGAAATGAGAAATATTTTTGTGTGTTTATGCTGAAGGTATGAATGGGCACTGTCTCCTAAGAAGCCCTGATCACATCTGCTTAAACCTTCCCAAAAGATATCTGTAAGGAGGGTTTATTGCTACATCCAATAAAAGGGAAATATCAGTACTGACAATATGAATCTCAGGAAACTACATCCCCTGTAGATACGATAGGATTCACAATTCATAATGGTGTTTCTTGTCTGGAAGATTTTCACCTCACACATCTGTGTGGGGACTGACCTCCCTATGCTCCAGGGAGATACTCCAGAGAGGTAAGACTGAGTACCAAGATGGTATTTTGTCAAGCATATTATGTTCTCTCATACAGTAGTGAATCTCTCCGCCGTATTTGTATCAATACAATTTAGAGTATCTACACTGCTCTACTACAGAGCAGTACATGTAGTAGATCCCCACAATAAGCGAAGTTTGCCCTAACCTTGTCACAGTCTCAGAAATTTGATGCCTCCCTGAGAAGTCCTGTATGTCTCCCTGAACACTGAGCTCAGTTCCTGCCTCTGTCCAGGGTAGAAGACTGGTTCTACAAATCTGGGAGAAGCTGCAGTCTGTCTCAAGCATTTCCAGAATGAAGCAAGAAATCCAAGCTCAAACTGTGACCAAGCTCCTTGTACCTGTGGTCCCAAGTGTACAAAAACATCTGGGATGCTGGCAGAGTTCTTGTCCTGCCAGTTTTTGTATGCCCAGGCAATCTGTGCACCTTCTAGCAATCAGAAAACCTTTGAAAGAAAGAGAACAAACCTGGCTACATCCTGAGGTGTTTCTGAATGAGAAAAAACTTACACCCCCCCCTGCCCCATATTAGATTAATGAACTGGATTATAATTTCATGACTGTGCAAAGCAAGAAGGAAACTGTCTATATTTTAAAACATAAGATGTCACATCAAATAATAATAAAAAGGTGTATTTTAGTGTTCTATCAGAATACAAAAAAAAAAAATGAATTTAGTCCCGTATAAACCCTTCTGTTTCATACATTAACTAGCCTTAGTTAAAAGAATTGGGACGACTGAACTGAACAATGATGGAATTGAACTAAATGCCAAAGACCAGGTGGATCAGACCTCATAATGACAGGCACTATGCAAACAGCAACCATTCGTTCTTTTCTGTAAGCACATATGATGGCAGCTATCACTTACTCTTCATAATGGGGAATCAAAGCTAAGGCAGGACTTTTTAGTGCCTAAGTCAGAGACTACCTGAGACATGATGGAGTGGTTTACATTATTAGGACCATGCTTCCTGCAGGACCTCTTGCTATTGCGTATGTTCATGCACACCAGAGACAGAGATGATAATGTGGGTATCTCTCCTTAGCTTTCAGCTTAGAAAGATGTGGGTGCTGGCTGGACACTTGGTACAGAGTTCACTGGATTAATCGACCTGGACAGATTCAAGAAATCAGCTGTCACAAATAATGCAATACCATGTCTGCAGGGCTCAGGTGTGGAATAAAGTCAGTAGTGGAGATCATGAGTTCAGAAGGACCTGCAAAATCTTTGCTACAAAGAGTATATGAGAATGAGAAGACAAAGGCTGTGCACAGCTGGTGTAAATTTGGGAAGCAGCTTTTAGCTGAGCTGGGACACCTTATGGTACTTGAGAGACAGATCCATTGCCTTGAACCACACAGTATTTTAAGCTGCTGGAAATGGGATGGACAAGGCGTCTGTCAAATAATGGCTTACTATACTCTATGTATGCCACTACCACCTAGGAAGCATCCAGGACTAGAGAGCATGGTTTGAGAGAGAACTGGCTCATGAGTTGCTGGTGTCTCAAATCGGTTTATTTGGTATGAAAATAACCCAGATAACTCGGTGATAGACAAAAGAAACTCCCTATCAAATCACTCTGAAACCCTTCACATTTTTCCTTCTTGAAAGGTGAACTGTCTGTTTTACAGACAAGGCTCTTACATAAGGGAAGGGTCTACATAGTGTTCAGAAGTGTCAGTCCTACTGAAACCAGATTTTTCAAAGCCAAAATTCATCAGATTGAAAAAAATACAGTACCGTGAGGTCAGTTATGGGCCAGTAGAGACTGAAGGACAAGCTTTGATTTCAACTTAAAAATAAAACTAAATTGCTAACAAAATAGAAACCTGTGAATTAATCAAAACTTTTGCCAGTAGAAAACCTAGAAAAGTGCATTTTTTCTATAAGTAATCAGTAATTTTTTTTTATTTTTTTTTTTTTTTTAAAACTATTACGAAGTACAAAAAAATCTGGGACTCTATGTTAACCTTTTCCCTTGCAGGATGAAACTTTCTGTGACTGTAGCTGTGATACTTCCCTTTGCCTTGGGACCTTAGCTTAGAGATCCCATAGCAAACAACAGCTTTCAGAATTACAGTCTAATAAAGAATGTGGGTGGAAGATATAAGACTAGAAAGTCTTGAAAGTGTAACATTGGCTTTTCAAATGTGGCTATAGAGTCTCTGGGGAAATAAGACTCTGTCTGAGTTTCCTGAGCCATTTTTTATGTAAAAGCTAGGGATATTCAATGTGCTTTTATGCTCTGTGAAAGTCATTTGCAGGTTAGCTGACTGCTGAAACCAAGCCTGAAAATACCAGGCAGCTAAATATGTCAGCATTTTCAGATGCTTAGAGATACATCTGTCTATACATTGCCTTGCTGCTGACATTGGAAGGGCCAGATTCTCCAAGCTGATAAAGCAGTATAGCTCCTTTAAATTCAGTAGCAGGCTCATTTATCCTCTGCAGATCTGCTTTATTACTAGGTCAGACTTGGAGCAAGTTGCAACATTTGAACTTTGTAGAAACAGAGATTCTTGAAGGTGCAGAGTAGAAGGATGAGGTCAATGGCTACAAGTTGCGCCAAGGAAAATTCTGATTACATGTTAGGAAAAAAAATGTTTTCATCATGAAGGTAGTCTGATGTGGGCCTGCAGAAGCTGTGAAGTCTCAGTCCTTGGAGGTATTCTAAACTTGACTGGACAAAGGCTTAAGCAATCTGATTTAAGCTGGCTTTGCGTAGAATTGGGGTTGGACAACGTGGCCTCCAGCAATCTCACCAAACTAACTTTTTTATGTGATCTCTGACCTACCAATAGCCATGTGAAGTAAAGCCACCCCATTATTTCTTCCCTAAAAAAGTAAGGGAGTTTAGGTCTTTAATACTATGCACAGCTCAAAGAGTCTGATTTGCAATTCCTCATATACAGTTTTAGCTTAGCATATAATGGCTTATTTTCACTGTCTTGTGTGACACAGTTTCAAGATATCAGAAGTATGAGCAAATCAATACTGAATACTAATGCTTGAATATGTTTGCTCACATTTACACTTCGCTAAGTAGAGGCCGTGCAGCTGCAACCATGCCATAATTGGGGCAAATTTCTTCTGGGCTATAATCTGTAGTAGGCAAATAGCCAATGGTATACCTTGCACTGCCATTTCTGAGCTGCCCTGCATATCTGAACCAGCTAGAAAAATGCCATCTCAGGCAGATCTCTGCAATTGCATTCCCCATTTGCACTTATTCCTTTAGCAAGCTAGGACTGTTTCAAGTCTAGTTGGTCTCATTACACAGGTGCATACACTGGGGAGATAAGGAATTAAAAACACAGGAGAAAGGCTGGAAGTCAGTGCTGGCACATATGCTTTGGAGGAGGTAATCTAGGTAAGTGAAAACTGGTGGGGTCAGTTTATCTTCCTGCAACCCTCTTGGTCATTTCTGGACAGACACTCTTTCACGGTATACAGTAGCCAGATCCAAAGATTTTGCTTCTTCTTTGACAAGGAGAAAGCAGTTATGTAACCAAGCAAGTGGCTTTAGCTACATATCCTCAGAAATACATTTTTTTTCTGCGTAACAAAGTTAACTGAATCACTTGTTTCTCAGAAGCAAACCCACATGTGTTGGAAAAAGAGATTCGTTATATATGGTTAAGTTTTGTTTTCTCCTTCTTGCCTTTTAAAAAGATGTTCCTCTCTCTTCTTTCCAATTAGATATATGGGTCTCCCAGCCAGTTTCTTCTTGTGGCTTTTCTGAATGTGGTTCACTTGTGATGACATTCTGCCTGTGACAGGCAGCCCCATGGAAAAAAAGCCCACAGTTGCAACTCTATCAAAGGGTTACACAGTATTACACAGTGCTGATGGCATCAGGACAAAATGTGGTTTTCTGTATACAGAGAAGTGCCCATGGCAGTCCCTCTCCTGGATAAAGAGGTGGTTTATGGCTTTCAAAAGAGCTTGTGCTGCAATATTTAGGTGGGGGTATTGCAGTGTGGCTAATCTTTATTAAAGTGGTTTTTCAGCCTTTGTTGAGAAGCACTGGCATAGCCAGTGAGACTGATCCTAATGGGGTAGGTACAATGTGCTCCAGATAAAGCCTCCTGCAGTGAAATGCAGCATTTAGCATCCAGATGCTGACTGTTCAGGCATTGCCCAAGTTAAGACAGAGAAGCACAACTTGAACCTTTAAAGTCTTGACTTCCTCCCCGCAGTCCACAATTCCTTGACAGAAAGTTGCTTCCACCTTGGTGCTGAGTGCAGTGCCTTAATCACTTGACAGCAAGACTGAAATGCAGAGAGGTACAGACTTCAGGTAGTGTGAGCAGGAATGCTAAAAATATCAGGCCAGAAACCTGTTTAGGCAAGCTGTACAATGGTGGCCAGGGGAGTTTCTTATCTGCTTGTCAGAGGAGATGGCAAGGAGTAGACAGTATGTATGAAACCATTCATGCGAACAGTTTGTTTGGAGGATCGTGCTCACCATCAGCCTGAGCCCCTGGTGAATTTAACCTTTCTCATCTGCCAGCAAAGTGATGACAGCGTTTATAAGTGCTGGTGTCTGAAATGGTGTTGTGCATAGCTTTGGCACAGCCAGGGGTCAGCAGAACATCTGAAGGATGAAGCGTGCAGGCCACGGTTCGAGGGGCCTCAGCTGACAGGGGTGTGTGCCAGTTTCCAACACTTCAATATCAGAGAATTATAGAATTGCTAAGGTTGGAAAAGACCTCTAAGATGATTGAGTCCATCCATCAGGTCTGTACCTAGGCTGAAGTGCCTGCACCTTCATGAACTCCTTCAGGCCAAAGTAGATTTGGGGTACACGCATGTGTACATTCCCCATTCTGTTAAATCTCAAGCTTGACATGCACTTTCAGTGAATGTTTAGCCATAGTCAAACTTCATCTTAAAAGCAGTGGTTAGCCTAAACCAATAATGGTTCTCAACAAGGAAAGCAGGTTCCCCACCACTCTTCCCACACTCTCTAGTCCAACACCTTTGTGAGAAACCAGCCATTTGCCCAGGGAGAAAGCTGAGCTTATTGCAGGTTTCACAGACAGCCTGTTTTCTACTTTATTCATGCTCTTTGGGGTTCTTTGTACCTGCAAACATCTAGACATCTGTCAGGTATGCTTATTTACATCCCTGCCTCAGAGTCTGTACTCCCTTCCAAGAAAGCATAACTCCATCATTATTTTGGTATATAGTCTCTGATGTTTCCCCTTTAAGCATAAAGGGCTTGCTAATACAGTGAGCAGAACACCTGCCCTCAATTTCAAAGAGCAGTAATTAAAAGCACCATATCCCAGGGATGTAATGAAAAGTTCTAGGACAATTTAAGAGAAGCCAAGTACTCATTAAGACCTTTGAAATAAACTTATCAAGATGTGCCATCAACTTTACAAGTGGTCACGTTACACAGATTTGACCAGCAGGAACAAATTAACCTCTTAGTCTTGTGTAAGGTACCCTTTGGATTCAAAATTCTCAGGAAAGAAGGGACTGCTTGTGGAAAGCATTGAATGCTAACATTTGCTTTAACTAAATGAAAGTCCAAACCCCAAAACCATGAAGAAACTACATGAATGAAATTTATGATAGTCCCCCAACTACTGATAGCTTTGCTTTATTCAGTGCTTACTTGTATCAGTGAGACTTTTATGTTTGAAGGGCAAGAGCAAAGCATTCAGCTTTTGTGCCTTTCATTTAATATCCAGGGTGTCATTATAAACAGTCAGCCTTCAAAGAGGGAGAAAAAAAAAGAACCAGCCTTCAACAATGCCTCAGGTAAACCCACCAAAACAAGGTCAATGGTCTGGGGCATTTCTAAATGTATATAGAGGAACACTGCGCTTCAGAGACACAGGGCTGCAGGGACTATTCACACAGATAAACAAAAGACTGGTAAGACAGCTCATGGCAGCCAAACTATGTATATAGGCATTCATTTTTTTCCCTCCTGCTTTTTCTTTTCATTTAAAATGCTTCTTTTTGTTCTGCAGGACAGTGGGATGCTTGTGCCCTTTCTCACAGTCCCATTGGCATATTCTGGGCAGCTGATATTTATCTGGGACTGTGATTATGCAGTGCTTCACTGTCTCTTGGGTGTTTCAAAAATGCATTAAGATAAGTCAGTATATTGGGGAAAGGACTGTTCTGTGAGAGATAAACCATGCTGTTTCACAGGGGTACACGGATTTGACCATATTGTCCACAAATGAACAGTACAAGCGAATTTATGACTTCAGACAAAACATGAACACTAAGCTAAAGATGTCTGCAACTGGCATCAGTACAGGGGGAACATGATTTACACTGGAATTTCTCCAGAACTGAGATTATCTCTATACTTTCCGTTGTCTTTATGATAATTGCCATCAGAATTTGTCAGTATGCTTTGGGATCACAGATGCTATCATCATAATAAAAGAATTAGATTAATAAAAAGATCCCTGAGCTCCCAGTCAGCATTGTGCAGAGGATTTCTACTATGGAAATATTTAGGTGATGTTGACTCACTATGGCAGCCTCCTTTACAGTGAGTAATGAAGACATGAGCTGCAGGAAATAACACAAGTCCCTGAACCACCTGGGCTTCACAGCCAGAACCCCTCAGTTTCTGGTGGAATTAGGAGTCAGTTCTGTTTTTTAAAGCATGGTCTATCCTGTCCTTGAATTATTGTCCACAGAAGATACCCCATGAGACTAGATAACCACCAGTATCTTAAAGTGATGCAACCATCTGGCTTCTCCAAGGCACTGACTACTCCCTTGCTTGAGCAGAAGACTGGAACCATTACCCATGTGCAACGTTGGACACACTGACTCATTGTCTTTGGATGTAAATATTTACAGTACAAACACACACACACACAAATACAATCATGTAAAAGACATTGCAAAATAATTTCCCATGAGGATCTGAACTAAGCTGGTATCTTGGACATGGTAGTCTCTATCAGGAGCTGCCACAGGTCAGGCAGGCATGGGGATATGTTGTCCTCTCAGGCTCCAGTGCTTGGCTGTTGTCAACTGGTCAAGTCCCAAGGATGTTAGAGCAAAAAAAGAGAACTAATTAAAAGGAAAGTGGGAGCTTAGGATTTGGGTGTTTACATGTTGTTGAGATGCTGAGCGACAGCCACAAGAGTTTGTCCTGCTTTGGCGGCGATGGTGATTGCACATAGCAAAGTGGCTGCAGTTACTCATCCCACAGAGAGTTGGCCCAAGCGGAGTCTGTACTGACAGCTAAAACTAGGGTCTCCCTTAGAACAATCTCCTTTTAAAACAAGTTTTATCAATGCTGTTTCCCAAGAATCCAGGTTTTCTGAAAAGGTTCTACTGAGCTCTTCATGAAGAAAGCCACTCTGGCGAAAGCATCCCACATTGAGAATGAAGGCTCCCAAATTCAAATGAGGGCTTAGCCAAACCAAGTACCACTGTCAGCATGTCTCTAGTATATGAGGACTCTTCTCTGTTTTTTGCTTACAATGCAGTCTCTAAGTTCAAAGTACAAGAGGCATTGCTTCCTGCAAATGGTTTGTGATAAGGGCATACATCTATTTAGCTTAAATGACAACGCATTTCTAAACCGCTTAGTGGCAGAAGCCATTTTTGTGGGAAAAGCACATTTTTAAGGACACTTCATTGTTACAGCATTTCCTGGAAATATACTTCAAATTCATGTGCTGGGTCACAGCCAGGATGCTCTTGTTATCTCAGACCACCTGCCCATGAAAGGGGTTACTGTCATAGCCTCTTCCTCACTTTTCTCACCCTATCCAAAAAAACACCAAAGCCAAGCCCTCCTGCCTCCAAAGTGATTGTATGATGTTCCTGATTTCTTCTGTTCCTTGACAATTAAACAGATGTGTATGCCTAGACGGAGCCCAGTGCCCCTCCTCACAAATTATGTGCTTTATACAGATAGAGGTAGGCTGAGAAAGGGAGGTGAGGGAGCACCCGCCAAGGACCTCTGATTTCTTTCACATCAGAAATGTCTCCTGCTGCTGAGGTTGGTGCCATTCCCCTGGGTGGTTGTAGGCATCCTCGGTGTGGGTGTGAGGGAGATCCTCAGGGCACCTCCATGGCATATGCTGTGGGCATTTGGCACTGCCCCATGTGTCTTGCCAGAGGACCTGTAACCAGTCTCTGGCTACAATGCCAAAAGTGCATCTGAAGCACCCCAGAGTCGATAGGCACATAAAGGGAAATTAATTTGCAATCAGTTTGAGCTGTGAGGATTACAGACTGCTTCCAGGGATGATGCAATCTACCCTTCCTGGAGGTGCTGCTGCTGATTTCATCAGGGAAAGGTGATACCAGCCACAACCAGGGGCAAGGGAAAAAGATCCATCAACATTTTCCCCTAATGTAAAGTGGAAGAAGAAGGTTGAAGCTTACGATGCTGGAAAGACCAGCATTAAACCCAGGCCTCTGGCTCTCTGCTAAAAATGACACAGTGCATGAACAGGATCCGAAACATCATTGTTTGTGCACTGTGGGGAAAATACCAATCCAGTGCTTTAGGATCGTCCCTCCTTCGTCAGCCAGTTTGTATCGAAAGCTCGATAACTATGGGAACCAGTAGCCCTGAAAATGGCAGATCATTAAACCTCTGCTTGGTTTCAAAACCCCACTGCCACCAGGGTACAGATGGATTTTGTTTAAAATGCCTTTGAAATATAAGTTGCCATTGAAAGGGTCTGCTCATCTTGGCTCAGTTTTGTGCAGACAATTACGTGCTTCCTTCTCTGCTTCACTGATGAGGCTGATACAGACCATGGTGCTGGTCAGTGAGGCTAAGTGCCAAGTTGGGACAGCCAACTCCCAGCTCTGATGTGATCTTCATAGCTGGGGACTCCCTCACACACAAAATATACTATTTTTATACTCAGAGACAACTCTGAGTGTCAGATACATACAGCCCTGGCTCTTCTGTGAGGAGGAAACAGGATTTTGCCCTGCTGCCATCAGCTGTGTGCAGTTTAAAGGATAGAGGGAGTCTAAAATATCTAGTTATCTTACAAGGCTTCTCTCTGCATCAAGACTAATGGCCATCTTGTGCAGGAGGAGGAGCAGACAGCAGCTTGTCACAACACCGATGCAACCCTTAGCAGTGGCAGCAGAAACAAGGCTTTTCTTTCAAATGCATTTTACAGAAAAATTTGTTTCCACTGCCAGCTTGCAGAGTATGGATCAAGGATGATGCGTGGATCTCCGGGAAGCCACCTGAGTAACCCTGCACCTGTGGTAACACGAGCCCATTAGAAGTTTTCAATTGACTTAAATGAAACTCCTTTTTTTTTTTTTTTTTTCTGGAGAAAATAATAACAAATTGTGCAGGAAACACCTTTCTGCTGCTACTGAAACCTGTTTTCTGGAGTGTAGTATAAACATCTGTATTTACCTTTCCTCAAACTCAAAGAACTTATGGCAATTTTTGTCACATGCTACTAATAAATTACTGTCTGAATGTCAGGAACTTGTCTTGTTCAGGTACCATGTATCCTTAGCTTAGCTAAGGATAGCTTAGCCTAAAGTCTTGCTGCAACATACTGAAAAAAAATATTTGTACTGTCCAGTGCTTTGGTTGAAAGATAGACTGTTTATCAGAGCTTATAACTAATCAAATTAGCAGATCTACCAACATGGTCAAGCTTGAAAATTGCGCCTGACAAATCCTGCCAGATCTCTGCACATCAACAGTTTGCCTATGTGTGTGCTGATGACCTCCCCATCACCCGTGCAGCGGGTCCAAGGTGTAGAGAACACACTGAGCTGACTAGGCATATTCAGCAGCTGCTCTCCCTACGTTGTGCAATGCACTTTTACCAGGAAATGGGTGTTGCACAACCCTGGGAGTAAGACTGCCCGACATAGTAACTCAGTAGATTGCTACCCCAAGCAGGAGGACAATAAACACCCAAAGCACTAACATTGGTAGGGCTGTCAGGCCTGAGGTAGATCTTTAGCTCAAAGGGTGGCTCTCCAAGTTTTTGATGGCAGGAGTGAAGAGACATCATCCCTGTGAATCATCCAGGAGCTATGACCATCTACTGTGACTCAGCCAGTTGGAAACATTCTGTGATGTCTGTTTCTAGGTACTGCCATGTACATAACTGTAAGGTAACAGTTGTGGTTTTGGGGTACTCTAGGAGAAAGTTTGGATATAGAAGCACTCACCATGAAGTGGATGGTCCACTGGGAAATCACACAGCTGATCTTCCTCTTCCTCATGTTTTCTTTTGCCTTCCAGGTGTTCACGTCCTATGTCCTCACCCAGGAGGGACACTGGGCTGCCTCTAGGTCTTCTGCAGTGAGTTGCCTGCACTCTCTTTGCTCTGGCCATGGGTGTAGCACATGTGGTTGGGAGAAGCATTCTGGCTGAAGATAAGTCACATTCTAACTGACTCCTGCTGCTGGAATCTGTGAAGGACACAGCACAAGACAGCTTTGAGTAAAATAACCACCGTTAAGCACAGCTTCTAGTTGGTGTGAAGAAAGTGGCCTAGATACTGTACTGTTCTAACCCGATCATATTTAAAATGACCTTAATCCTTCTGCGCATCAATGCCAAGATTACCTCATGTTGCAGGGACAGGATCCTGGTGAATTTGATCACCAAATCTAGCCTGATCTCTGCTTCCTTCCATCTTGAAACTTTCAATGGCCCTTGTAGGAGATTTTTAAAAAGGACTGTAGAAATAAGGAGACATGACCAAATGATCAAGAAACTTCAGTTTCTCTCTCAGTATCCAAATTAGTAGCTGCCTTTTCTGAAGAACTCAGAAGTACTGTAGATATGGAGCTGCTCCAACAATCTGACAGCAAAGATCGCCATGGAATTTGCTGGATGCCAAATGCTTTTAAAAATATAATCCTTCCTTAAATGTCCCTTGAGATGCATCTTCCCTATAGGAAAATGGGCCAATGAGTAGGCTAAAGGTCAGTGTCTTCCCCGATTCAGGTCCATCTATCCCTTCTTCTCCATCTGGGCTACCTGTTGCTCTGATTTAGGCATTGGACAATTCTAAAGGCAGCCTTTGCCCAGGCTCTCAGCATTTCCCATCTGCCTTTGTGACAGGTGATATCTGGGAAGGTACTGACAGCGAACTCATCTTCATGAAAGCACCTGCACGCTCTTGTTGACAGGACAAACAGAGGAAGTACATATTGGTCCATTTTCATGAAGTGCGGCTGTAATGTTAACTTAGATTTGAGCATGGATGTTACAAACAATCTCTAAGGTAACCTCAGCAGTAACCAGTGATGCCGTGTGCTAGGTCACCTGACTCTGAGTGGTTAGGAAATTGGCCACAGAAGCCACAACCTTTCTTCAGCCACAGCGTTGCCTTATTACTAACAGCATTATCTCAGTGTGTAGCAGGGGCACCTCAAAGTTCTTCCAGATTAGTTTTCTGCCCTATGAATACTGTATGAGTTCTTATTCTTCCTTGTAAATGGACCTTGCAAAGCCATGCACTGAAATATAACATGTTGGGAAGCTTTGTGGCTGTTGGCATCCCAAGAGAGGCATATCAAATACTCCCACTCTCCACTCTCCTTTTCTATATTAAAGCCCTACCATAAACCCCAATGCTGAATGGTTTATGTGCTGCCTTTGGTAGTTGCAGTCAAGGCTTAGGCTTGGCTCTTCAGAGACAAGGCAATTGTGTCTATGCTGTTTTAATGGCAAATCCAGAATTTGCTCTAGTTTTGTTCCATGCCTGGATTTCTTTGCTTGGAGAGGCAGACTAAGAGGCAACACATAAACATAACGTACCCATTGGGGAATTTTAGTTCCATGGTTTGCATAACCCTGAAGCAATTGTGACAGTACAGGTTTGTCTGCTATTACTGCCAAAAAACATTAACATCTTAATGCTATAATAGACTGCACTCCTGAGCAATCACACACATCTACACTCTGGGGTTTGTGGCACTTGTGGCTGGTCACCTCTCCCTTCTCATATCTAAATGGCAGCAGAAGTGAACCACTACAGATGGTATTGGAAGAAACTTCACCTTCTAATATACATTTTACATATATGTTTTATATATTTAAGTTGTCAGATCTGGCATCGGCAAAGCATTTAACTTTTTAGACTTTTCAGAAGTTTATTTTCTGAGCAAATAACAAGTTCTATTTGCAACCAGCTTTGGAGCAACAATAAATATAACATGTGGAGATGAAGTACCCAATTCCAATTCTGCCCTCAGTAAAAGCCCCCACAACAGGAATTTTATAGAGGGTTGACACCGACATGAAGACAACAAAGTTATATAAGAACTCTGAAAATTAGCCAAAGCCTCATGTAAATACAGAATGGTTGTTCAAATGTTATCTATTCAAATTATCACTAATCTTTGAGTAACTTTCTAAACACAATTACATGTGTCCAGCCATGCAGGCCTTAAAAACCTGGTATGAGGTCAAAAACCTGGTGTTTGAGGCATATTGTGCAAAACGAGATTAATTTAATTTCTTTAGTATCAACTACATTTGAGTTTTCTTGTGAGAAAACTGGTGAGGTTTTGAACAATATTTGTGGGATAAAGGAGAAGGATAGACCTGAGAGTGGTCACTAGCATGGGGTTGGGGTTAAATGATTTTCTCAAGAGCTCAGAGGATATCAGTGTTGGCAAAAGTTCTTAGCCCAGGATTTCTATTTCGGTCCCCCAACCTTAAATTAAGGGCTACTTGCACTCCTTTGCTAAATGTGATGCTGTGAAAATTAATATGTTACAGAATTGATGATGCTTATATCCTACAGTAATGAAAAATGGAAGGGTATGCAAGCAAGGTGCTCTTATGGGGAGTTATTAAAGCTTTCTAAGAATAACATTAGCATTTTCTAAATTATAGAAGATTTTTCACGTGTCTTCATCTTTCATATACAACTTCCCTCCCCAAAATTTGTCTCTGTCATGCTCACATACCCCAGTGAGAGGGGTAAGAGCACAATTTATGTAAGAGCATGGATAGAGTAATTACAGACTAAAGTAGGGGGAACAGGGAGAGAATGGAAGACAGTTCAGGGCAGATGGGAAAATGCCAATGTCTTTGTGAACTGGTGAAAAAGAGTTAGACAATCTGTTGAGACCGAAGAAGTAAATTAGAATGGCATGAACCTTAAAGAGAGGCTGAATAAATCAAGGAAGTTTTTTGGAGATAAAGATTGAAGGTAGATACTACTGGGTTTAAAGTACACAGCTGAGAGTTAGGATCCCCAATGTCTAGTCAAGTTTTCTTTGCAACCTTCTCTGGTGCTTGTTGTCCTGACCAGCTAAGGAGATTGCTGGAAGTCATGGCTTTTTAGGCACGGAGCTCTGAAAAATACCTATGAACTCCCTCAGGGAATGTTGTTTTGTTTTGTTTTGTTTTTCCAGGGATGGCAATAATATTTCAGCCCAGCACAGTGTGAGATATTTGTTGCTGTCACACATAGAAATAACTTTGACTTGTGGCTAAAAATGGTTTAAATAGTTATATAGAAAAGGACGGAAAATTTAAGGCAAGATAATAGGGTTTCTTTTTGGAAGCAGTAGGTTATTTCAGATTACATAGGTTCCATTTAAGCCTTCCTTTTTTTTCCCCTCCCAGGTATATTGTTTTTCCTTGTAATAGGTGGGGTAATTCAGTTGTATTGGCCAGGTGGTATCTGTTCAGTTAGATTCCTTCAGCTTGTTTCCTCTTTTGTGATAAAGCTGGGTGGAGTGCTACTAAAAGTGAACAATCACAACACTGACATTTGTATGTGAAGCAGTAGTTGTATTATAAATTCACATATCCTTGACGTAATGGAGCATAACACAGGCAGAATGACAAAATTACTGTATCTGTTAATGCTTTTACTATTAATTTCTCATCCCAGGCTTTCCTGACTTGATAAAGAACCTCCTGCAGGTGAAACCTCATTGGTAGAAACATCATTTCAGATATACTTTCAAATACATTGAAATCATATTCCTTGGAATTTCAGAAGAATTATTTTTTTCTGAAATAGGTGTGATATTCTTCTCTGGTTTAAATGAAAGAGCTGGAACTAGGGAGGAGATCAACCCTTGCTAACTGTTTGTTTGTGTCCCTTGCAAAGGCCATGGTTTCCCCTTCTAGGTATTCTGACAAAAGAATGAGAGGAAAAGCATGGACTGCATACTAAAATGTCTCCTTGTTCATTATTTGTTTTTTTAACTTGGTAAGAGTCTTTCAAAGATTTCAGTAGGCTTCAGCAGCTGGAGCTCCAGGTCATCCAGTAGTTTTTCTTGTATGGTGAACTCCCCAACGGCTCATACTGCAACTGGGAAGCTAAATGCTTCAGAGAAGACTGCACACTCCTTACTCCAAAAGTCCCACTGGAATTACACTCACAAAAACATGTGAACTTAGGAGTCAGACCCAGAGATGTCCTCATACATGATCAAGTCCTGCCCCAGCTTCCTATGAGAGGTTGGCACTATACATTACAGCATCCTTTTTGTCAGAGACTCACAGAATAATTTAGGTTAGAATCAACTTCTAGAAATCATCTGGTCCAGCATCCATGAGTTTTCTTTGAAAGCTTTGTCTATGCCCCTCATTTAAAATCTTAGGTTGGAAAAGACCTCTAAGATCGTTGGGTCTGAACATTGGACCACTGAATCCAACCACTTTTGAAAATCTGCGTCTTATGTTTCTCTGGTCCCACCCATCTCCTCAGCTCATAATGGCTAGGTTTAGACTTTAGGTGTGATCTTGGTACATAGACTGTCTACGTCAGATGATGACTCTTTGGCCTCAGTATTTAACTTAAGGTAGCCGCGAGTATGTATGTAGTGCTATATGGATCTCATATGCCATAGGGATCTTCCTTCCTCTCATATAGATCATGGCTTTGGTCAGATACGTACCACAGGGGATGTAGAAAATGTTCTTAAAATCCAAAGTAAGATATAACTCAGCCCTGACCTTTAGTACTTCCTTCTTTGCTGTAACTGAACTGTTATGAGAAAGCAGCTGGATTTGTGTCCCATCTGGAATTTCCAACAAATTCCCTAGCTCATTTCAGTTCCCTGACCTTGGCCAGCACTGAGCCATACTAGATATGGCTGACTATTTACACAAGTTGTTTAATGCTAGTGTTATATGGTGTTAAGTGAAACAACTTTGATGAAATACGGCAATTATCCCAAGATGTACAGTGTAAGGTATTGAACTTCTGAAATTAATAAAACTTCCCTGAATGAATAACATTTCTGTTCAGAAAGCAAAGGGTAATAAGCTTAGGTATCTCTTTGGTGTTAGTAAGAAACAAACAGTGAAAAAGTTTCTCTTTCATTCTCTTTTTTAAACATCCTTGATCAATTGCAAAAGCAAAGTATATTATTTTTGAAGATTTCTACATCTTTCCTATTTTTCCACCCCAGTGACAGTCAAGTGAATCTTCAAGTGTGTATAATGTTTTCATTAGTTAGCTTTTTGCATTGTCTTAATTATTTTAATCCAACCTTGCTTTCTAGCAGGGGTGAGAAGAGACATTATAATCTCTTGGTACAGCTAAGTCTCTCTCTGTCTAGGTGACGAAGCAAAGTTAAAGGCAAGGCCTGGTGGTTCTGCCTACATTGCTTTCAAGGTGAAAAACTGACTGTATGCTCAGGTAGAGTCATTTGGGTTGAGGCTGCACTGGAAAGCAGTAACACAATCCTAGGAACCCAGCATGTCCTGCACAAATTTGTCAGACCTCGTGCTTGGAGCGGTGCACCTAGTAAAGACACGCAGTGGAACTAGGCTTCAACATATCGATTGTGAAACAGATTTAATATAAAATGTCCTGTGCAAGTATGGCAGTGTTAGGGACTTCCAGTCCAACCAGTGACTAATGTTACACTAGTGAGTAGTTTTCTTCCCCACTTAGGTCTTGTTTGTTTTCCAGTCCAGGTCAGTATCCAGTTTAGACATAAAAGGACATGAAACTATGTGAATAGATAATGGTTAGTTGGACTGCCAGGTTTTTGGAAAAAGACTCTCTCCCTTACTAATGGGTGGTTCATCCAGTGTCCTGGGAAATGGGGTGCTGAGCCATGAAAAGACCTGTATTACAGAAAATGAAGTGTAGCATTAAGCTCTATTGAAAGCATTCGAGTGAGAGGTGAGTGAAAATTTTCTGTAAAACTACAGGTAATTTTTTAATTAAGTAGATGTGTTTGCATACATAAGACATATCCTTTTCACGGAAGATGTAGATTAAAAAAGAAGAAGAAATATTAAATCCAGAAAATGTTGGGCATTAGTATTTGTTTAAGGAAAAAAAAGAGAGTATCTCTCTTTGTGACTATTTCAGTGGGGGTAAAAGTTCACTCAAGGCCAGTGTAACTAAACTGAAAAAACTGAAGTCAAAAAGGCTAATGCAGTTGCTGCTTTGCTCAGATCAAAGTCATGAAAGTTTTCTACTAGTTGCTTTTATTTAGTTCATGAAAGAACCTAGTGTCCATGATGATAAGCAGAAATGATTAATTATATATGCTTTCCCTTTTCTTGTTCCAGCAACTGAGTTCTAAAACTGCTTAGCTACCATTACCCTTACAGACTATTTCTCCTACTTAGGGTGAGTGGTCAGTTTTATCAGAAAAGGGTGCTGATATGAGATTTGGCTGTAATTCCAGAAAACAGTCAACTCTTGATATAAGTGAAACTCCAAAAATTCCATTAAGATTCAGCAGTTTTAGGCTAGTTTCCTGAGTTTGAATACTTGTCATTCCCTATGACAGGTATTTATTTGTCTATTTTTTTAATAACACGAGTATTGTTTTTTCAAGTGAAAGACACGAGGACGTTGTATTTGTTTACAACAAGCACTTCTCCCTGTTACTGAGGACAGCTACCTGCCATAGCTGTTCAGGTTGCATACTCACCTCTCTAGTGACGGTGGGGCTTTAAAATGCACAAAACCACAGATCACAGTCTATTGTGAGGTTGAAAGCAAATTATTTTTAAAAGATTATTTCTGTATATGTAATGAATGATTAGGGAAATCTCAGATTCCTACAAAAGGTAAAGAATAAAAATTCTACATAATCAAATACGACAGCTCTAGAGGTCAGTAAGAAAGAATTTTCATTAAGTGTTATAACTGGTACTTACCAACAGCCAGTGGTGACCCTGCTTTTAAGGATGGACGTCTCTCAGCGTAGTTCCTTCTCTTCCTGGTTTCACTGCTTAGGGCAGTGCTGGCAGAAGGTTTCTTTAAGATTTCTTCAATGGAAAAAGACAGGTTGGGCTTCCCCTGTCCAGCACACACCCGGGGGTCCATCATATTCCTGCCAAAGTGGTCGTGGGGCAAAGAGTCCTATCCTGCTCTCCTGGCTCTCAGAGCACCCTGAGGAACACGCAGCTGGGATGGTGTGTGTCTCTCCCCACCCATGCCCGGGTGACCTACCAGAGCACTGGGAGGAGAAACAAAGGCGACCCACAAGTAAGCACACGCACCTGCACCTCTCTGCTAATCAACCTGGAACCAAGACCTGCGCTCCTGTGTCTAGGGAAGACAGCATTAAAAGTAGGGGTTAAAAGTCTTACCAACCCCACCCACTCCAAGCATTCCCCCTGCCACTCAGATTTACAGAGCTCTGAGCAATCGCACGGCCATTCCAGGAGGATGTGTGCTCCTTGTAGACCCCGGTGAAAAATGCCCTGGGAAGGATTGCTTCTTGCTGGTAAATTCTGTCTGTGGGGCACTTATCTTCCTTTTACGCATTCAGGCTGAAGCCTGAAAAAAGCCCACTGGATTTGTACCATGATAAAATTAAGAAATAATTGGCATGGCAAATATTTATCACTTGTGTCACTTACTAGCAAGAGAGACAACCTGTAAACTTCTCTTGCATACGACTAGATGTCACATATGAAAACCTCCCTCACCAGCAATTCCCAGGTTATTCTTCAGCCATCCCTCCTAGCCATCATTTTTGGTTCAGATTCTCTTTTCTTTTACTTTGGAAACCCTTTGAACTTTCCAAGCAGGTGCTTTTCAACATCATCCGATCTTATCAGTCAAAAAGAGAAAAAGAGATGGCCCTTGCAACATGTATAGGAATCAGAATTAATGCCCTCCACCTCCCACTCATGCAGATAAAACATTATTTTATTTCCATCCTGAGCTATGAGGCAAGCCAGCTTGATAAGCATCCCACCAGTTGCTTATGCCTCCCAATTAGGCATCCACTGCGGGGGGAGAAGATTTCCTGGTTAATGCAAGTGAATACCAGTGATTCCTCTCCTGTGCCACTTCTATCTTCTCTTTAATTTTTATTTGGAGAAGAATGTGTGGTTAGATACACTCCTGTGCTTTCCCTCTCCCTCCCCCCAGTGGTTTTTTTGCCTTCTTTGGGGATTGCCCCTCACCTTTTAAATTGCTAAAGTTGTTTCTTTCTCTCCTGATGGTTCTTCTCTGCACTTTCCTTATCGGGCTCTTATAATTGTATAGCAGGCCCTGCCTTATTTGTCCAGTGAACTGACAATTCTTGAGCTGATATCCCATCATATGACCCTTTCATGGAGTGGAGACCAAAATTACTGTGTAACCAGGGGAGCAATAAACCACACCTGATAAGATGAAAGCCTTTCGGCTTTTTCCAGAATCTAAATACTGGAAAAACAGTGGGGGTGGTGGGGAAAAGAACAATGGAAGAGGTTAAGAATGGTGAAGCCAGTCTTGATGAAGAATATTTAATTATCTCATTTTATTAATCAAGCTTCTCCCCAGGCAACAGGGTAAACAAGTGAGTGTCTTTCAAAATGATGACACTCGTGGGGTAGAGTGGGAAGTGTTTTTCTTTGGTTTTTTTTGCATCCCTCTGTCGTTTTTATAAAGGGGTATCCTGTGCCTTCCTGGTTGTGTGATGAGGTAGCAGCTGGTTGTGTGGGTGCAAAAGGTCTTATGGCCCTTTCCAATAAGCAGGGAGCACCTTTTTGTTTCAACCAATGCCTCTTGGTCAAAATTTGTCCTCTCCAGCTTTGCTGCTGGTGTCTGTAATCCTGGCTGGACACACAAAAAGGGATGTCTTCCCCTTCTTTTCTTAGGCAGAATGAGAGAGTGGATAACTTATGGGATGAAAATAGGTAAGTGTGCTGTCTGTATAGAGAGGGAAGGGAAAGAAAGGTGCTCTGAATCTACACCCTGGATTAAAGCTGCTTGTTTAATAACAGGGGTCCCCTTTTTTCCTTGTGATTCCTGATTCAGAGCCCATTCAAAAGCCCAAGGAGAAACCTGGTATATTCTCTTGCAAATGCCTGACTTTCCCCACTGTGTTTGCCTGAGGCACTAAAAAGGGAGCCACTCTTCTTGGTTTTACTGGCCCTCCTACAGAGCAAGGGCTTCAAATCTTACTCACTTCTCAGATATCTCAAGAGTCCTTGACCCAGCCTTCAGTGTATTAATTTAATATATATGACAATGTCTGAACTTCCTGATGTTTACAGTGCTACCTTTTACCTGGAAGTTTCAGGCACAGGAAAACTAGCTCTGGGGACCTCTGTTTCTCGAGTCTCTCTGCTGTCCACTTTTCCAAAGGTGCATGAGAGAAGTGCATGGATTTGTCTGCTTCAGTTGTTAAATAAAGAAAGGCCACATTTTCCTTTGCAGTGAAGAGCTTTGGCTTTGGTTTGTTATTAAAACTTATGTGTTCAAGGGGCTAATTTCCTGCTGCAGAGGGAGGAGGAGGAGGATTTGACAAGAAAGTTTGATAGGTCCCAGAATGCCTAATGAGATGACTCATATCTTTGGGCAAATTAGCTGGATAAATTAGCCTAGAGAGTCCCAGGGCAAGAAATACACCTCCTAACCCTTGTCCTTGCCCCAGCTCCGCTTTTGCTGTGTTAAACAGATACTGTTTTCAAAGGAAGAAAGGTAGCCTTCTGGCAGAAATACACGTGCTTTCATGTCGAAAAATTTCTGAAGTAAAGAGAGTTGAGACAGACAGACCCCAAGTTTTCATCTCAGTGAAATACTTTTAATCAATGGTCACACTGGCAACACATAGCCAGCAAAGCCAGCATATCCCATATTCAGAGTCTGTGCGCTACCTGTCTCCACTGCCACCAACTTGCTCTGGGCAGGCACCTGCTGAGACAATGCTGTAGTCCCATGTCACAAAATCCAATTGTGCATGTTTGTATAACTATTCTGTCTCAGTCTGCAACTTTAAACCTCCTTGCTGCTTGCAGCGACAAGTTGATTCTCTCTGCATGTTTAAATTAGATGCTCACATGCAAATTTACAACTTAAAAGCATCCTTGTGAAGGCTTTATTTTTGTTCTGTCTTATTCTATTGTTCTTTTTTATTAAAACTGAAGGCAATGCCAACCGAGAAATATATTTTTCTTTTTCTGTATGGGAAGACAAAACAAACCCTTAAGTGGGAAACAGGATAAATAAACAGGATGAACTCTTGAAAGGGGGTTTGAAAGCAGCAGTGTAAGGTTACAGAAATCCCATGTTTTGTGTACAGAAGTTCTCCAGAAAAAAATGTAGTTTTGATATCAAAATGTTTAAGGAGTACCAAAAGACATGAACGTTTTAGTATCTTTAATACAAAAATAGAAAAATAGTGATAAACACTATTTCATTAACTAAAAAAAATATTAAATACTGTCTTTAGAATGACTGCTAGTTTGGAATTTCTTTGCTTTGTATTATGCTAAAATAAAGATGAGTGGCAAAAAATAGACTCTTGAAATGCAAATGAACATTTTGCAAATTAAAATAGTTCAGCTGACCCCCTTTTTCAAATGACTGAGTTGCTGAAATGTAACAAATTATTTATGTTCAAAACAAGAAATTATTTACTTTTAAATTACCAGAGAATGAAGAAGTTATTTTTCTGCCAAGTACTAATATGATGGCTTTTGCAGGGTAGTTTGGGGATATTTTTATATTTCTGCTTGACCTGGAAATGCAGATGACTCTCATTTGTTACAATTATTGTTCTACCCGTCTAATTTAGTCTATAAATTCCTTGAGGCAGGAAACACATCTTCCTCTGGGATTGCTGAGCTCTGAAGGCAACTCTGTACAGCAGAAGGGAGCTGTCTAGAACAAAATCATGCTGTGTTGATTTTCTCAGCTTATCCTCTTTGTGCCAAGCAAACCTAGAGATCCACAAAGCCTCCGAGATTTTTAAAATATGGTGAAAAACCCTGGATGACTAGACTTGAAATCAACTTGGGATCAATACTTTGGAGTTTTTTGTCCTGTATTGCCTGTCTCAAATTTGAAGAACTTGCTTATGCTGTCAGTCACAGAGCAGGACCATTCCTGCCCCACTGGTCTCTTCCACTAGACAAAGAAAATAACAGGATGATATTCCACCTGGTGCCTCTGAAGCACCTCCTTTAATCCCCCATTCTCAAATGTGGCTCGGAGTCAGAGTTGCCCAGTGTTTATGCACAGTGTGGATGCTGCAGCTCACAACACCTCATCTCCGAGGGCTCATGCTCAGTCAGCTGTTCAGAGCAAGTCAACGAGCTCAGGCAGTCAGAGACACCGACGGTTGCCAGTGACAGTGTGGCTGCAAATTGCCCACAGCACCTCTGGATCCTCATGTCCCTGTAGGTCGTCTTCCATCCTTTATGCCTTAGTGGACCCTAATAATCTGCCCAGTGACATCTGAACTGCTCTGGTCTTCTCAGAGTTCAACAGCTGGCAGTGATCTAGCATAAAACCCAAGCAGCCTGCTCCTGGAGTCTCTTTCACTTCAGATTTATTAGCCCTGTTGTCTCTGCAGATTTCTCAACAAGCTTATAAATTAGAAATATTAATAAAAGGGATACTGTAGGCTTAAACTGATAGCATTTATTATGATTTTCTTATGGTAAAGTTATTATCAATTGACATTTAAAATGGCATCATAATCCATCAGGGTGAAATGGGCTCAGAAAAATATTTCTCCCAAGCCAAAAATAATAACAGTAGAAGCAGGACTGCAGTAGAGGAAGGACACAAACAGTTTGAGCCCAGGTCACCGATTTCATACTTTGGAGGTGTTTTTTAGCAACTTCATCCTCTGTTTAATCCATTCTTGTATTTCATAATGCTTCTTCTCCCCTGCTGGGCCCCTCACGCCCTTTGTAGAGGTTTTTCTATAAAAAAATCTTTAGTTAATCCATGATGGAGAGCATTTTGCTTCGAACAGAGCAGGAGCTGTTATACGTGGAAAGGGCTGGAGAGATCAAAGGTTGTCCTTTTCATAACAATTCAGGCCTCTCTGAGCAGCAATTGCCATAGAGAACTGTCCAGCATGGCTATAAAGTAGCTTT